GAAGAGACTTTTGCACAGTTTTCTCCCAGCGTTCAAATGTCTCAAAGTATTGTGAAGGAATTATTCTGCAAAGAAATGAATATGTAAAACAAGTATTTTGTGCAGAAAACAATTCTTGGCACAAATAATAATAATAATAATAATAATAATACAAAATAATACCCAAATCAAACAGTTTTGCAGATTAATTCCTCTACAATATTCTTAAGATGCTTGAGTACAAGAGAAATACTGTGGGAAAACATTAGTTTTCTCCCTCTGTGGGGAAAAAACCTACAGTAATTGTTGATCCTTGCAGACAAGGACAACATAGTAGAAGATTTATACCACAATTTAGATCAAAATCTCACTGTGCCCAATGATGCTTATTCCTAGGTATACATAGGTTTAAGATGTAGGCGTAAGGTCTTTCTTAAGGGTTTGGCCAACACTTTCGATGATCCAAATGAAGCAAAAAATAATCAGGGAATTGTACATCTATGCATGTACATGAACATACAGAAATACATTTAGTTAGAAGATAGAAATGGTGTTCTAAATATATATGAAAAAATCATTGCTGGTGAAACACTAGCATGTCAGGGAGAAGGGTTTTCTATTAACCTGTTTCTTGAAATTCTGGTTTTCTACTCAGAGGATTTTTTTTTTCAATGGAGAAACAGTCAAGTTGTAGTTTTGAAGTATTGTGTGTTTTGTGCAGAACCAAGAAATTCATACCCAGAGCCAAACTAGATATGAAATTAAAAGTGCATATATAACTGTATGGATTTCAAAAGACAAATTGTATCAGCTAGGCACAAAGCAGATCATGACCAAAAGTATCAGAGCAGGCAATGGATGGTCTTAACTCTGTCCAGTCTTTGAATGGTCCAGAGGAAAATCCCTTCTCAAAATCTTATATTTGCATTGGCAGGAAATCCCCCACAATGGCTCCTGTCTGTGCAAAAACAAATACCAGATCCATTAAGCAGATCTTACCCAAGACTATATTAGAGGAGGAAAGAATTAAATACTCTTCCCAATGCCTGTTCTGATATCAGCTCCCCCCCCCCATTAATAGAATTTGAATTTATGTGGGTTTCTTTTTAGCAACTAGCACCTTAAGTACAAAGATGCAGTCAACAACCCAAAATAGCCTTGACCATCAGTATAGAAAGAATAATTATGTCAGTATAGAAAGAATAATTATGTCAGATTGCTATACTATCCCTAGCAAAATATCCTACAACTCTCTCTCACCTTTCACCGCTGCAGTTCGCGAGGTGCTCACGCCTTTAGCATTGTTGGCTTCGCATGAGAATGATGCACTGTGATTTAGACCTAAAAGACAAAACCAACCATGCATGGATTAATATTAACTAAATATGAACAACAATTTTTAAATGGCAATGCACAATATTCCTGTGAGGAACTCCCGATTTACAGAATGCTCCCCCAATTTACAGATGGAGAATACTAAGACTTCAAGATCATTGTTTACGCTCAAGATCATACAATCAATTCAAGATCATGTAGAGACTTAGATCCAAGATGGGGAATATTAAGATTTCAAGATCATTGTTAATCCTCAAGATCATATAATGAATTCAAAGACATGTAGAGACTTTTAGTTACTCTCCAAATTCACGCTGAATATGATACACCATTAAGCAGTAAGTAGTCAATGATGTTAGCCTTTGCTTAATACATCATTAAAAGCAACCCAGTAAAGCAAAGACAGACCATCCAAATGTTGTCAGACTACAATACCCATCATTCCTGGCTGGTTATATTCCTGATAACCAGGTTATTCCGCGATGTTCCCACTGGCCCCGAATACACCCAGTGCCGTTTGCGGGGGGGGGGTGTCACAGAAAAACCCGCTTAACCTGATGTATTGGACACTGAGTCTTTAAGTGCGTCTATTTTAAAGAACCGCAACCATCCACATCTTCAGTAGTGTGAGTAAGCTTTCGAATCGATTCGCATCATGCTGCATCGTTCCCGGAAACTGAAGCGCCTCCATTTTAAACTGAAAGGGTGACAAGTGTGCATGGCAACAGGGTTAAGATGCCACAGAGAGATTCGGAAATGGAAAACGTAGTGGGAACACTGATCCGGTATTATATCATTGTGGAGATCCAGATCTCCTCGTGAATGCCGCCTAGGAGTTACCTGACCAACATCAGCTTTAGTCAAGTGTGCCTCCCTCCCTTCTAACGCACAAAGCCTTCCAAAAACAGTCATGAAAGGGACTGTAAGCTCAGAAGGCAGGGAGGCAGGATTCTCATTCTGCCTATAATTTGAGCCATTAAAGTAAATCCGCATTTCCTACACCCACGCTAACATTGGACACAAGGGACTTCTCAAGGGTAATCTACACCAGCCTTCACACATGCTCTGCCCTGTTTCAAATTAAAGGCAGACAAAACCCAGGCAAAGACCATTGGGGACACTCCTGGGATGTTCTTTCTTGCAGATGGTTATAGCATGCCAGAAACACACACACACACACACACCCCACACAAAAAACACTAACTTTTCCGTTCCCACACATATGTTTAAAAAAGAAAGAAAGAAAGAAAGAAAGAAAGAAGCAAAACAATTGCCAAAAACCTATTGTTTAATCCTATTCCCATCCTGGCTGTGTGAATAAAAATGTTCATGTAACACTACAATTCACATTTCTGTTATACAGTATTTTTGCTTTTTCTTCTTACTGTCCTGTGAAAGGAGGAGGTCAACTATTACTTTGGTTCCCTGGCGGAGAATTCCAAATGTTCACTACATTTGGTCTCCCTTGTCTGAAATGCTTGGGACCAGAAGTGTTTTGGATTTCAGAGTTTTTCAGATTTTGGAATATTTGCATCTATAGAAGGAGATATCTTAGAAACGGGACCCAAGTCTAAACACAAAATTCATTTCCGTTTCACAGGCACCTTATACACACAGTCTGAAAGTAATCCTATACGCAACATTTTAAATAACTTTGTGCATGAAGCCAAGCTTGTGTACACTGAACCATCAGAAAGCAAAAATGTCATTTGTCTCCGCCACCTAGGAAAAAAGTTTTGCTTTTTGGAATACAGTTGCCCCTCCGTTTTTGCGGGGGATAGTTCCTGATCCACCCACCCTGCAAAAACAGAGGTCTGCAAATATTCAAGCCCCATAGGCAGGGGCACACCCCATTGATTTAAATCATCCGTGAATGTACAAAACCATGGACTTCAAGTCCGCGAGAATGGAGGGGCGACTGTACTTCAGATTTTGGAATTCCAGATAAAGGAGACTCAACCTGTATTTACCCCAGGATGGAGTCACGACAGTTAAAAGTGGTATCAACTGCTGTAACTGAGTATTGTAGTTACACCGAAAACTTGTGGGTGAAGAACCAGAATGACATTGTTTTCTTTAGAGCGAAACCACGTCCCTTCCCTTCCCTTCCTGCCTTCCAGAGGAGGAACATCTGGGAGCCAGTCTTGAGTCCCAGCTGGTATGTCCTGTTCTTCCCGCCCACCCGTCTGTGGTTTGGGTTTCCTTATGTCTGGATCCAAATGTTGGCCCTTTTTCCATGC